TATCTTGGCGTGGATTTGTGGGTTTTTAAAAGAATTTCGAAATTGCTCCATCTCTCGATCTCACTCTCCCGCTCTCTCTCTCTCTCTCTCTCTCTCCCTCTCTCTCACACACTCTCGCCCTCAGTCGTACTTTCGCTCTCTCTTTGACCTCTTTCTTCTCTCTCTCTCTCTCTCTCTCTCTCTCTCTCTCTCTCTCTCTCTCTCTCTCTCTATCTCTCTCTCTCTCTCTCTCTCTCTCTCTCTCTCTCTCTCTCTCTCTCTTTCTCTCTTCGATTTCTATGGCTTTCAGATTCTTCGTCATTTCCGGCTATTTAATACAACGTATCCTACTGGAATCAAAAGAGCAAAAATCATATTTATTAACCCTCAAATTCTATCGAAAAAGGCTAAAAAGAATATGCCCTCTCTATTTTCTCGTTATGGTCATGATAGGTAAATTTTAAGTAACTTTTATACCTTAAAAATTCAGGCATTGCCATGATATTAGCATATACAGCGCCGTGGGCGAAGCGGTACTTTGCAAAATATAATTTAGCACTTTTATTTTTGTTGAATTTTGGAATGCTAGACGAAGAGAGCGATTATTTCGCTGAGGTTGGGGATTCCCCTCTAAAAACTTGAAACATTTTAGGACACCTCAAAATTGCCATTTCTGCATGTTTGGTCGTTGGCGGTGGAAATGCAATTTTATCTGGTTGCTCCGCTACTATTTATTTTGGGGCAAATAAAGATTAGAGGTAACAATTATAATTCAGAACGGGAAAAACGTGTTAAAACCTTCTAAAATTCGGCTATTAGTCTACGAGAAGAAGCAAACTATCAATGTGACTAGAAAAAATGGCACTAGATTTTTCCTAGCCGAAACCCCTATTTGAAGAAATATGCTTTAAATAAAATACTTTAAGTCTTCCACTATAATTCGTTAATGCGCCTCCCTTTATTCCTTGAACCATTCATCGGGGTCTAGCGATTTTCCGATTTTCTACTTGATTGTCCTACAATGTTTCACCAATTATTTATAACTCTGGAATTGAACATTCGAGATGTTGTATAGATACAGATCCATGATATATCGATGAGGAAGGGTCCAGGAAAACCCAAAATTAGTCCATGCCGAAAAAAGAAAGTGTTTCGACTCATCTTCCTGTGAGCCGGCGCACTAGGGCCCTAATCGGCGTCAGAACTTGATCAGGACTCTATTTTGATATTTCCTACAGATCCGTTAAATTTCGATAAATTTCGATTTTTGTCAAAATCTTTCCAAACGGCTGAACTGTAAATCTCTATTTTCTTCAAGTAATAAACTGTTCTTATAACGGCTTAGCGTTGAAAAACTACTAGAAACACTATATTAAACTATTAAAAATCGGGATTAGGCCGCCTCGTACCTAAAATAATTACAGCATCGCTTTTCCAAAAAGGATGCGTAAATTTAGAACCACGAATTTCTAAAAATATCTTTCAGGAAAACTAAGAAATTAGCTAGTTCTTAGGCCGATCAATCGAGTGGCTGATTATGATGGTTGCTTTTGCTCTTTCCCTCTTCTACAGTATCCAAGCCACCGAAATTGCCGCATTTTATCAGCCGTTTGGCCGATTGTGGCAATTCGTGGCTGGGATGGTGTCTGCGGGTTATTCCACACAAGAAATAAGCCCAGGTCAAAGTTAAATTTTTTTTGAAAAAATTTGCGTTTCAGGAAAACAGCAGCATCGTCAAAATTTTCTGCTCATTAATGCCATTGTGTTAACCGCTATCTTCCTACCTCTAAATCTGGCGACCGGAACGATTGCTAAAAAATGCGCTCAAATTTTGATTACCATCGCCGCTACCATGTTTTTATGGCAAGGAGAAACGAGGTAAAAATTATATTTAGGAATTAAGCTATTATTATTATTATTGACACGGTTAGCAATAACATTCTAAAGGTTTCCATTCATTTCCATTTTTTGGTTAAGAAATAAAGTGTTATTAATTAAAAATTTGTTACTAGAACCTAGATATTTTTTGAAACCTATTTTTTTCTCTTGGTATTTCAGTGGTTATCCTCGACAAACGAATGTTAATAAAAACGACTTTTTAATTTTACTTGAATTCGAATTGTCGCCTAAAACACTACAAAAGCAGTGATGATGATTATCGCGACAAATAAAACTATAAGTTTTTAATTTCCCTGTTAATCATTGGTTACTGTAACACACTTTTCGGGTAGGCCGAAATTTTTTTATTTCGTAACTGATAATAGGCTACCGTAATTTTTTGTTTTTATACCGTAGAAAAAGTAATAAGAACCAAATCCCTAGTTGGCAGTGGTTATGCTGTAGTATGAGAAATGACTAAAATCAACCGTTGCTTTCCCGTAAATTCTAATTTGAATCTCACGCGACGAGAGTGATTAATTATTTTTTGAGAATGCTGATTCTTTTTACCGATTGTTGTAACACGTAATTTCAGGGAGGGTTTTAATCCATCGAAAAATTGTTAATTTTCGTTTTAAATGTAGATTTGTGACGTTTTTACTTTTAAGAATCAGGAAACAGCCCAAAAACGATATTTTAGGGCATAGTTATTTACATTGAAAAAATTGACTCCTATGCAAAAAAGTCGCCCCCATGATACAGCTACAGTACCCCTTTTTTCCAGCACTTTCCCCTTTAAATGCCTTCGTCTCGGGTATATCGCCAAAATATCATATTCTCTATATTTAATACACTATCCACTGCTTGAAATCGGCCAATATTTGGGCGAATTTTACGGTAAACAAGGCTTCGGTAGGTATAAAAAAAAACCCATTTTTAATTTAATTCTATTTTAGTGACTCCGATTTCTTTTCTTGCAACGATAGTAGTATCAATATTAATCCACCATTTCTACGAAGCAATATTGCTAAAAAGTGGCAATATGGAAAACCTTTTAATATGCCTTAAATACGCCGGAATTGCATGGCTGCTTTGCTGGAAATGGGAGACGATTTTGAGGCCGGATTGTGGTAAGCTGGATTAATCTGATCTAAGGTATATAACAGATTTTATTTTCAATTTACAGTTCTGTTTTTAATTTAACAGCTTTGATTTTAATATTTGGATTTTTCTCAGGACTTCTCGGATGAACGCGCCCAAAAGCGTGTGAAATTCCAGGAAAATTGAGCTTGTGGCAATTGTTGATTAAATTTTTTTAATAAAACCTTTTTTTGCAATAAAACGTAAATTTAAAACTTGTGTTCCGAAAAAAATGTTTTAATGAATTGAGGCAAAATGATTTGTTTTCGATGTATAATTCGTGGTCTATTTGGTCAACCAGACTGGCGTAATAAGCTTGAATTTCAAGTAACAAGTAAAACAGAATTAAAAGCAGCCGTATATTTCGAAAGCACTGTAAAACTGGGATCAAATAGATGACGATGAACATTGATCAAAAAGACGAATAGTGATTAGTGTAATTCTAATGGGTACTGTAGTGCCTTTTTCAAAAACATAGTTTTCTATCTTTTCGTAACAATCAATTCAAATTTCAGTCCAAAAGGCGGCCATTGCAATGAATCTGAAGTATGCAAAATCGATGTACAATCTGACCGGCGGAATTTTTGTAGATGATGGTTTTGGGAGGCCGACACCACCATTTGGCCATTATTCATACCAGGTTTGAAAATAAGGAAAAATCACCGAGTAAATGCGCATGCCTCGAAAAAATGTTTCTTCCATATTTGTTTTTGCGCGGCGTGGCAAGTTTATCATGAGCAACGTTGTGCTATTTATATTCGATTGAGGTAGCAAGTCAAAGTCGATTTTTGAAAGCATGTTTCGTTGTCGATCCTTTATAGACGAAGTTCGAAGTCGAGATAATTCGCGGAAGTAAAACACGTCCAAATAAAAAGCGTATCAGCTGAGCATTTTCAAAAAACAAGTTTCGTTGCTACTCGTATTTATGCACAGTTAGAAATCCATAATTTTGGATTGATAAATAATTTTGAACTGGATTCCTAGAATCTTTGTTGGGGCTATCAAGACCCCTTTAAAATTCGGGCCTGCTCACTATTAAAAAAATATGCTTCATAATTTTTTTACTTTGCTTGCTGTTAAACGTCTACAATTCCCAGAACGCATACCGTTGAGGACTCCCGACTCACCCTAAAAGAACTTAGGATGGCTCATGATTAAAAAAAAAACAGGTTTCTTAAATTTTGGACTTTATAAGCGGTTAGAACTCCATAATCTCTGGCTGGAAAGTTGTTCGAGCAAATTTAGAAATTCTTGTTGAGGGTTATTGGTTGGGGTGCCATTTTAAAACGCCGAATCACCACAGCCAAAATTCTTCAGCATATACGGAAGAAACGGTCCGATGCAATATTACTTAAATTGTGTAATACCTTAACTAGACTAGAACTAGAACATATGAAAATTATAAAAGTCCGTGAGTCGATCTCGAGTAGGGGTTTTTGATTTTTGGATTCTGTGCATTTTTAGGCGTTTTTTCATTGACGGTTTTTCGGTGAAACGGCCAAAATAAAAAGCTGTTGCAGTCCTGGTTTCGTCTGACCCTGTCTGGCCCTTTAAAAATAAGTAGTTGTGATGAAAAAAAATAGGTTTCGCCGGCGTTACACCTTTTGCAACCTTAAATACAGGCAATGGGAACGCGATGATGACATAATTATAACGACTGATTTTTTTATGGTGATTTCGACAAGCATCTACCGTAACACTGAAACATCCATCGTCGTTTCAGAACAATACAGGAAGAACAAAAATTGTCGCGATTGGTAACTCCTGGGCTACACAACAGTCCTATGTACGTGAAGCGTGATTTTTTTGCGAATACTAAATCAATTTAATTTTTATTTTTTTACATTTCAAAGACAACGCTTCATTACCAGTTGCAAATGAATTTAAATTTGATTATTTTAATTTAATTCGCTGGTGCGGAACAAAAACACATAACATTCATTTTTAAGCTAATTCGGAACCTTTTCCCGCCCGAGTCAACGAAATCATTTGACGTCTTTACGATGCCTGCCTTGTGTGTTGTTTTGCACCCAGAAAAGGGTAGTGAAATGAAACATTTTTTATGACTTTATTTCTTGCAGGGAAAACGCAATTTGTCATGGAGTTTTTACGAGATACGAGACCGGATTATATATTTTTGCTACTACGGTATGTGGAGTTCTCAAGCCTGGTTTTGTGGCTTTAAATTAAAATTGGCGTATTTTAATCGCTAGAGGTTTTTTATAATCACAGCTACTGCCAATACTGCTAGTACTATTATTAACTTATATGCATGTCAATATAATTTTATGTGTGTTAATAGGTTATAGATTTTCGGCGAATACCAATTGAGAATTTTTCAGCGGTTTTGCTACCTTATCCGGAGCGAAACAAGCTTTTTAACGGCTTTACTTTTGCATTACTGGTCAAAGGTGTAATCAGGATGAAATTGCGAAGCGGAACACAAAGAAACCCGCACATACAGTCACAAATATTCAGGTACAACGAACACGCCCACGATTTGGAGCCGTTCCAAGGAGATCAAGACATGGTTTTGAAAAATTATTTGGATGGATTGCTGGAGGCCAGGTAGAGATCCCATATATCTTCCGCAAATTACCTTGGCGTTTCACTGAGAGTTTCTTGGAAAAACGGTGAAACTCAGAAATTTAATTAAAATGTTTTGGGGGTGTAAAAGCTAGCAAAGCTTTGAAACCGAGTTAACTCCGCTTGTAATTCTGCTGAAATACGCAGCAAACTTTTGCAGCTTTGGTTGAATACTGTTTCTACTTCTACTTCTTTAAAGGAACTGGGATGTCTAAATTCGTATAACTACGTTGTTGCCGCTGTCAATTAACCGTGTTTTTATTTTAAAATCGGCTCAAGTAGGCGCGAGGGTCGCGCGACGACCTTATTTGGCTGAATCGCCAGGAATTAACCGCGGGGCAGGATTGGCATGGCTTCTTAGCCCCTTTACTTTGAGCTTCTAAGCTTTCTGCACTCAAAACCCCCAAAAAAAGTAACATTTCGCGATTTTCGAAAAAATGTTTCAGGCATTCATAAACCTGGTGTAAAAAATTATGCGGCAGTCAGCGGAAGTAAGTGTAGCGAATTTGGGGCTTGATGATTCCTTCCAACGGAAATAAGGCGCGGCCGAATCCTTTGCAGCAGGTTTTGCACACAATCAAGTTTGCCTCAACTGTTTATTAATTTGACTCTTTTGATTTTTAGGCGCAAATTAACTGCAACACATTTTCGTTTCGGCAAGTGCACTAGAACAATAGAGCATTGTCACTTCCAAACAGGCGTCGTTAATAAGTCCGGCCGTGTTGTGGCTGAATTTAGTTTAGCTAATTGCCATGAATTGATGGGACGGTGGCCGACCTGACTTCTAAGCCCCTTTCACACGCATGAGCTTGAATTTGGGCTTTCTCTGCTCGAACCCCCAAAATACCCATATTTCAATATTTTTCGAGAAATGTTTCAGACGTTTGTAAATTAAGCGTACAAAATTAAATGGTAGTCCTGTGGCTCAATTGTATGGAGTGAATTTTTGAGCTTGTTTATTGATTCGAATCGAAAAAATTAATGTCCGCATTGTTATCCGCCGATTTTTCGTTAATTAAATAGTTTTTTATTTTTTTGCAACATTTGTCGTTGCTACATGTTTCCTTTCAGCAAGTGTACGAGAACAAAGTTTTCCGAGTTCGCGCATTTTCGCCTACAAGAAGAGGCTGTCCAAACCCAAAGCGGCCACATTGCGACCGTGTTTGGCTATTTGCCAGGAATTACTGGCCGAGGGGGGCTGCATCGCTCTTAATGTAGACTTTCTGCTCGAAACTCAAAAATACGCCCAGTTCAATATTTTCGGAAAAATGTTTCAGATATTGTTCAAGCTGAAATCTAGCAGCGCCTTCGTTGTTTTTATCCGGTTTACAGAAAATAACGAATTTTCGTACTGTACATTCCCCGCGATTTTTTATTTTTCGTTTCCGTCAGTTCGCTACACATTTTTGCCGACTGAAGCCCAAGACCACGCAACGCTTCAACATTTTCGAAAAAATGTGTCATCCATTTGCCAGTCTGTCGTAAAAAATTATTAGGGAGTTTCACGTCCGGAGGAGTTGTATAACGGATTTTCGAACCCGATCACTGTTTTTGCTTAAAGGGGCTCTAAAAGCGTTGACTCCTGACAAACAGCCTGATCGCCCGATCTTTTGCCCCTTTTTGGACGTGAAAACGCAATTATGAGAATTGACCAATGAATCCTCGAGATCGAGAGATTGGCTGCCTTACAAGGCCTTACGACATGTAATCGTCGCACACTCAAAATGTCGTTTTAGCCCAAGAACTTGTCGGTTTGTCTCAAATCATTCACGTTTTTTTCGCAACGCAATCGATTTTCTGGTGGTCCTCGACACGGAGACTCGGTGACGACTTTTTTTTTGGGCAGAAAGTTCAATCACCGCACGCACAAATTTTGGCTGCCGAGCCCCTTTAAATTTTCACTGTCAATAGTCATTTTTCACGGTCAATCAATCGTACAATTATTCCTCTTTTTTTTACTGTCAAGCGTCAGCTATCTGCTACACACTTTCCTTTCAGCAAGTACACGAGCGCCATTTTCCTGGAAGTCGACCAGCCGTTTAAATGTGACCATTCCACGGCCGACTATTTGAATCGTTTCGTCGATTTACTACAAAAAAGAGAGGGGCTAGAAGAGGCGGATTTGCCCTTTAATGTGGGTGCTTTTAAAATATAAAAAATATTAACAGGTTTTCACAATGAAACAAGGCAATTCTGTCTCACCCCCACACTATTCGCATAATTAATAGATTTCTGCCACGACAATTGGGCCAAGAACCTGAAACTTTTTAATTTTAGGGGGATGCTTTTAATTTTTTAGAACGAGCTGGTTGGTATACATGGTTTTGAAAAAATGTGTTGCGTAGATGACAAAATTACATTAACACCGTATCTGGTTAATTCTAGAGAATATTTTTTGAAACATGCTTTTTTCGAAAAATTTGGTTTACGTTTTGCGGCAAATGGCTTCGCCTTTAATCGTACAAATTTGATTTGAAGCCAAAATTAAGTTCTAATGGAAAATAAAAAATTCGACTCGGGTTGATTTTATGAGCTAATTTCATTGACTTCTCAGGCTACATTCTTCCAAAAAGGGCGGTCCGGAAAACCGAATTTGTCGAAACATCGCAATTCACCGCAGTATCTCCGTTGCCATACTTACCGTTGTTAGCTCTCATTTTCTTTGCTGAGAAACTGTTAACTTCAAATTTAAAGCTGCCATTTTTTAATTAATATATTTAATAAGTTAATATATAATTTTACATTTGAGTTTTTTGAGCAAATTCCTTACAATACTTGACGCGCGTAGAACATCGAATTAGTCAAACTTTGATATCTTTTGTGAGGTAAATTGGATGAAACATTTTTCGATCAATCTTAGACTATCGATTCAAATTTTTGACGGCGGCCTTCATTTTGATACCCTAATTATTCTAATTTTGCAGGAAACCGAATTCCTGGAATCGCCGGTGCAAAAACGGCTGAAGGTCGTTTTTGAAAAATGCCCAAGATGCCATCCGATCGATATCTCGGAGGAGCTTATTGGTGGTTTTTTCATTTCAGAGCGAATAATGAAAAATTCTTTTAAGTTCTGAAGCACCAACTTTGCGATTGTTCGAAACCCATTTTTAGACCGGCAACGTGGCATGCTAAAAACGTACGACCCCGACACATTAATGGCAATCCTGGATAATGATTGCCATTTGACGCCAACTGGATTAAGCCTAATTGAAACGCCTATAAAAGAACAAGTCCTCAGCGTCATTAATAAATTAACGTAGGCGGGTCCGGCGATCGGCGAATTAATTACCGGAAACACGAGCATGGAAGGAAATATTCCATAACATATTTTTTACCGAAAGTGCAACACATCGTTTACATTTGGATCTGGACTGAACCTTTTGCGTTTTCGGGGGAGGTTACTTAATTTTGTAAAATATTTGACTTTTTGGCCAAAAATGCCTGAAAAATTGCCAAAAATGAAATTTTCGAATTTTCAAAATTCTTAATAAAGTTTTTATAACTTTCTAGCAATCAAAAATTACGAAAAACATTATAAAATACACTATTTACTATTAACAGGCAGGTATAGACGCGAAAATATAAATTATCTGTGCCCCCCGCTCAGCATCCCCCCGATAACAGTCCAGTACCATTTATTGGTTCAGTCAGTTGTGGGGGCGCGAAATATGCCAAATAACACTTTTATTCCGGGCATCACACAGCGTAAACACACAGTCGAAAAATAGAGGGCAGCAGACAAAAAAAATAGGATTCGATGGCTGGCTCGGTTGATTCGGCGGCTTCTCAGCAAATGCGCGGCTTGACCAGAGGCTCGTGACCGATGCTAAAATAGAAATTAAGTTATGTATTTCTGTTGAAACTGTTTAAACTGTTTAATTCAATATTCAATAAAAGCACCTCCCGAAAATTGCTACTTTCATGCTGAAATATCAGTGTTTCATAACGGCCTATTCATAAACGTTAAAGCTTTAAAATTTTTTTTATAAAAAATACTTACGCGCAAAATTTCAAAAATGTTTCATTGAATTTAACCACTCGCTTTTCGGGCCAAAAATGGCTTATTTACGGCCAAACTTCCAATTCTATAAGTTTTTTAGATAGTTTTACCACTGGGAAGACGGCAAATTCGGGAATCCCGTCTCATGCCTTTAGGGAATTCACAAAACTGATTTTTTAAAAATCAACATAAAAATCTTAATTCAAAATAAATGAAAACCCACCTGGAATCCGGGCCGCCCGTCTGCAGCTGGCGGTAGAACACTAGAAAAAATGGCAAAATTCATTTTAAAAAATTTTGGGAAAAGTGTTTCAAAATTATGATGTATTATGGCATTTAATTTGAGATTAATGAACGACCTGGTCTATCTTTATACAACTCACTTTCCTTCTTGACGCGCTCCATCTTGGAGGGACGGCTGAAAAAAAAATACTTACGCGCAAAATTTCAAAAATGTTTCATTGAATTTGATTGAGATAAATTTTCAAAGTATCACATTATGACGCATTCCTTTGTCCATCGATTTTGGGTGCTTTCGCGTTACCGGGGAGGCTAATTTTTTCCGTTAATTTCAGAAACGTCGTAGCTTAATCGTGTTTTTAGCCAAATTTAATTATATTTATGTGGCAAAATCGGCCCGTGGTAATGAAAAATCACTATTTTTGAGTTAATAAAAATTTGTAAAGTTTTTACATGAAGCCCCGTAGGCTGGATCTTTTTATCAAATGGCAAAAAATGCTCACGTGATTGCGCAGAAGATGATGAGGAGGAAGATGACGAACACGAGCGTGCCCACGAAAATCGAGATGCCGAACGAACGACGGCAGTCCAGGTCGCAATTCTCTGCAAAGGAACCGGCATAGAATTTTTTTCAGTAACGTTTACAATTGTTCAATCGGCCATTTTATGTCAAGAGATTTCTAAAGAATGGCTACCAATTTTAGATTTTAAAAACTTGTATTTTGAAAAACTCGCACAAGGATTTGACGCTGCGAGAAATAAGACGTTTCAAGAAGTCGTAAGGCCCACTCCAAGAATTATGAATCATTCCGAGCAGATTCATTTGACCGCCAGTTTAATTTTGTCGTTTTTGAATCATGTTGTTTCGCATTATCAGGGGGGAATTCTTTTTTCTTTGTATCCAATTTTTCTATTAGGAATAGAGGGAAAGTTTCTAAACGTTTTTTTTTATTCATAAACGCCAAAACGTCACAACTTTCAGTAAAAAACATCGATCATTCGACGAGAATTTCGTAGTTTAAAGGGATAACGACGGCATAAGAAATCGGTGACGCGAGGGAAAAAAATGTCTCTGCGTCTCGCCCTTGCGCGCGTTCTCTGTCCTGTTGGCTACGTGCCAAAAAGTCGATCAGGGGTGATCCACTTATGCCGCCGGTATCCCTTTAAGATTTTGAAAAGTTTTTTTTAGATAGCCCTTCCAGAGGCAACCTAGCTAAATCTGACTAATAACCGTATTGGAATAGTTACTGCTGCGTTCCTAGGATTTTTTGAGACTTAGGCGAAAATGAGGCTGCTCCGCCGTTTTCGTTTTCCGAAAAAACCAATTTTACGTACATGTATAAAATAAAAGTTTAGCAATGGCAAGAAATGTTCAAAATTAACGATGTTTAGTGCTTGAGTTGGGTGAATTTGATAGTTTGATACCCATTTAGGATTTTTAAAATTTAAATTTAAATTCATTTAATTTTTGACATTTATTGTTTATACTTGATTAATTGTGGTAGGACCTTTGCTTTAGAAAACAATTACTTTGGTGGTTTTGAAAGTGTTGAATTCTCCAAAGCCACAAACCAGCTTCCGCCTCGCGGCGTTTGGCCACGATCGCGTACGTCCGCTCGGCGCTCGTCGAATTGGCCAGCTTTTCGGCGCATTGCAGCCCGTTCCACTTTGCTAGAGCCACACCGGGGCCTTCGGATTTCTGCAAAGAAAGTATGAAAATTATAATGTTTCGATATATTGCATAAACACGTTCATTTTTAAATGAATACTATCCGGTATTTCTTCTTCCATCCTGTGTAAATATTTATGAAAATCATATTTAATTATTTGATAATTAAACAAAGTAATAATTAACTAGCTTTTAATTTAATTATTACCAGGGTTGAAAAGCCGCTTCGCGACTTTTCAACCCTGGCCCCGTCTAATCCTATGATGTTCTCTATTTTGCATGATTGTGCCTCAATTCCAATGACAAAAAATGAAAATGAAATTCCTTTGGGCCTTTATATAGGCTACTGGAACTTCCGGCGTATGTTAATTTTCTCCTAACAAAGTGGATGACCGAATTTTTACGAAAAACTTAATTTTAATGTCGAAAACAACATATTTTACAAAATCTGATGTGTGCAGTCATCTCCAGCCCATTACGCATCTAATGACGTATCAAACACCTCCTTACACCCCTCCCCTCTTGAGATATCCTCCGGACAGACAGACGGAAGTGGATGCAAAGTGGCACACACACACAGACACTATTTTTTTATATTTTAACCAGCGGGGGAGGAGCCGCTTCGCGACTCTCCCCCGCTGGACCCCGTCTAGGCCCTATTAATCGAGCGCCCTTCCACATAAAGTTACCTTGAAGAAAGAAAAACCCATCTCCCATGCAAAACTCTTTGTATTGGCATGCGGCGCAAGATTGTGAGGTTAACCTCATGGTTAAGCCTGCGGCGCAAGTTTGATGGGCTAACTCTTTCTTTAAGCCTGCGCCGCGAGCTTCAAATTCAGAGACCTTCTTACTTCCTAAGCCTGCGGCGCTAGCTTGAGGGATTAGCCTGAATCTTTAGCCTGCGGCGCTGGCTTCTGCGGCTAGCTTTGGTCTGAAGCCTGCGGCGCAAGTTTGAGAGGGCAGCTTCATTCTTTAGCCTGCGGCGCTAGCTTCAGCGGCTAGCTTCGTTCTAAAGCCTGCGGCGCTAGCTTCAGCGGCTAGCTTTGTTCTAAAAGCCTGCGGCGCTAGCTTGCACGGCTAGCTTTGTTCTAAAGCCTGCGGCGCTAGCTTCAGCGGCTAGCTTCGTTCTAAAGCCTGCGGCGCTAGCTTCAGCGGCTAGCTTTGTTCTAAAGCCTGCGGCGCTAGCTTGCACGGCTAGCTTTGTTCTAAAGCCTGCGGCGCTAGCTTCAGCGGCTAGCTTCGTTCTAAAGCCTGCGGCGCTAGCTTCAGCGGCTAGCTTCGTTCTAAAGCCTGCGGCGCTAGCTTGCACGGCTAGCTTCGTTCTAAAGCCTGCGGCGCTAGCTTGCACGGCTAGCTTTGGTCTAAAGCCTGCGGCGCTAGCTTCAGCGGCTAGCTTCGTTCTAAAGCCTGCGGCGCTAGCTTCAGCGGCTAGCTTCGTTCTAAAGCCTGCGGCGCTAGCTTCAGCGGCTAGCTTTGTTCTAAAGCCTGCGGCGCTAGCTTCAGCGGCTAGCTTTGGTCTAAAGCCTGCGGCGCTAGCTTGCACGGCTAGCTTCGTTCTAAAGCCTGCGGCGCTAGCTTCAGCGGCTAGCTTTGTTCTAAAGCCTGCGGCGCTAGCTTGCACGGCTAGCTTTGTTCTAAAGCCTGCGGCGCTAGCTTCAGCGGCTAGCTTCGTTCTAAAGCCTGCGGCGCTAGCTTCAGCGGCTAGCTTTGGTCTAAAGCCTGCGGCGCTAGCTTGCACGGCTAGCTTCGTTCTAAAGCCTGCGGCGCTAGCTTGCACGGCTAGCTTTGGTCTAAAGCCTGCGGCGCTAGCTTCAGCGGCTAGCTTCGTTCTAAAGCCTGCGGCGCTAGCTTCAGCGGCTAGCTTTGTTCTAAAGCCTGCGGCGCTAGCTTCAGCGGCTAGCTTCGTTCTAAAGCCTGCGGCGCTAGCTTCAGCGGCTAGCTTTGTTCTAAAGCCTGCGGCGCTAGCTTCAGCGGCTAGCTTTGGTCTAAAGCCTGCGGCGCAGGCTTGAGAGAGCAGCTTCATTCTTTAGCCTGCGGCGTTAGCTTCAGCGGCTAGCCTCGTTCTAAAGCCTGCGGCGCTAGCTTTAGCGGCTAGCTTCGTTCTAAAGCCTGCGGCGCTAGCTTCAGCGGCTAGCTTTGGTCTAGAGCCTGCGGCGCTAGCTTGCACGGCTAGCTTCGTTCAAAAGCCTGCGGCGCTAGCTTGCACGGCTAGCTTTGGTCTAAAGCCTGCGGCGCTAGCTTCAGCGGCTAGCTTTGTTCTAAAGCCTGCGGCGCTAGCTTGAGGGATTAGCCTGAATCCTTAGCCTGCGGCGGTAGTTTCAGTGCCTAGCTGGATTCGTTAGCCTGCGACGCAGTTTAAAGCGACTGACTTCAGAATAGCGCCTCCCTACAGGAAAATACACTTCGAAACATGCATTCCGAGCAAAAAGCAAAAAAATACGATAGCCGGGGATCGAACCCCCGATAGCAAGATTGGCAGGCTGACGCTCTAACCACTATACCATGAAACGCTTGGGAGCTCGCGTGCAACAACCCTTGTATCCCCCGAGGTGACTACCGGGAAAGGGAGCAAAGGCAATGAGAGGCAGCTCCAATGAGGCAGCCAAACGCGCGAGTGTAACTGGCGAGAATGAGGAAATTTGTATTTTCTCGCATTATGCAAATTAGCCCTCAGGGACCCCCAAAAATGAATAAAACCGGCCTTAACTTTGTAATCTCGTATTTTATCGAAATTCTGAGAACGCCATCGGAAACAGAAGGGTCGATTCCCCCCGGGTGACGGAGAATTAGGGCATTTTATCCACGGGAAGGCCCTCAAATCGGGCCTCGAAACTGACATCCACACACACACACAAAGATACACGCCAAAATTATATAAGGTAGGATTATTATCTATTAAAATAATTTCCATTTTTATTTATCGGTCTTTCACGTTATTTGGGGCATGGCGCGTAATAAAGTATTTTGCAGTGTAAAGTAAAAATTCCTGACTAGGAAAATTGAGGCAAGTCAGAAATGTTTGAAACGTTTAATCTTTAGTGGAAAAATCGCTATTTTTGCATTTTGCGACCAAATTATGAGGCTTAAAAATTTCTTTCGCCGATTTAAAATTAGTTTCAAATTTAAAGTTAAATAATTGAATTTAAAAGCTTAAAATGAAAAAGCAATTGAAAATTTCACTAATTACCTGAATAGCCTTGTGGACACAGCGACAAACATCCTCGTCACACCAAGTCCGCCCGCGTTGATAGTGGTAGCAGCGCTCGTGGAATATGCAACACTCCGAGATACGGCCTGAAAATTGAAATATTTGCCGGTTCTTGTTTATTATCGGGCGGGGGGGGGAGGCTTAAGTGCGGCTTGGATCTTGGTCTTTTAACAAATCCGAAGTTTATTAAATCCGCTAAACGAAAAGCCGATTAATTACGCAAAATTTTTGGCAATAAAAAAAATTATGTTTCGACGAACGGCCCTGAGTTTAACTCTGGCAAAATTTATAATTAACTGTGACATTTCAATTCCAAAAATGTTCATTTTTCCGTTTTCACTTTTGATTGGTATCATTTTTTGCCTACTCTAATATTTATGGGCACTTTATTTATCCGAAATCTATTATTCTACGAAATAATAACCGATGTGATCAAACATTAAAGCAAAAAAAAGCTATTGCGACACAACAGAACGTAAAGTCATCAATTGTAAACTTTTAGTTTAAAAAAATTATTTTGTGACAACGGGATGTCATCATTCAAACAAGGCGAAAATTACCCAGTCCACGAGATAAGTCCCCATCGTCGAATATGAAAAAAAATGTTTCAATTAAGTGTCGAGCTAAAATCCAAGTATTCAACTCAATTCAGGCGATGTTTTGTCCTCAGCCCACTAATTTATAAAATATCTGGCTAGAGTGCAGTTTACCCCCCAGCCGGCCTCCAACTTTTGTATCTCGGCTCCCTGTTCATCTACAGGTGTGTAAAGTATACCAATATGTTCGCCTTGCTCTGGCGAGTATTTTGGTATACTTTACACACCTGTAGATAAACAGGGAGCCGAGATACAAAAGTTGGGTGCCGGCTGCACTTTAAACGGGGGGACTCCGGATAGCCCCCCGCAAAGGCACCAGAACCTACTGGCTAAGAAAACCATTTTTCTACATTTTGTACGACACGACTTGGGTAAAAATGACCTACCAGTGGCGCGCCTGGCCTCGTCCAAGGCGAATTCGAGCGTCTCGTTCCAAAACGGCTCGTCCAGCTCGCACTCCCAGATCGCCGACACCGGGGGATCCGACTGGAAGTAAATTGCGCAATATATTTTTAAACGGATGAGGGTCAGATTGTAGTTTATTAATTGTTTTTTGTTGTTTTCGCGAAACAAAATTTAAAGCTGAAATTTTTAAAATTTAAAACAAATTTGCACCCCAGAACCGACATTTACCGGGCTCAAAAGGCGCTTCCGCACGTGGTGCCCCTCCCGATCGGCATTTGACGACTGAAAAATGATGCTAATTGCACTCAACACCGATTGAAAAGCAACAATTTTAACACCTTGAACGATTTTTGTCATCTACAGATTTTATGAAACTACTACGCGATTCCGGAACCCAACTTCATCAAACGAAGAATTTACAAACATTATTGCCATAAAGAATAAGAACTTGACTCTTCTAAGCCAGTGTGCACTATAAAGATTATCATAAAAATTTGGGGGTATTTCCCTATCCCGAAATTCTGTATCCCGAAACTCTCTATCCCGAAACTCTCTATCCCGAAACTCTCTATCCCGAAACGCTCTATCCCGAAACTCTCTATCCCGAAACTCTCTATCCCGAAAGTCTCTATCCCGAAACTCTCTATCCCGAAACTCTCTATCCCGAAACTCTCTATCCCGAAACTCTCTATCCCGAAAGCTCTCTATCCCGAAAACTCTTTATCCCGAAAACTCTCTATCCCGAAACTCCATATCCCGAAACAAGTTAGCTAGCTTTAACGTACCGAACACCAGACTAGATCTTTGAAGTAAATAGTTTTCCGCTATTTTTCGGTTTCGGAAATATGATAAAATGATTTTCCGATGCCTTCAAGAATGTAGGGCGTTAGGAAACGCAAAATACTGAGTTTCGGGATAGAGAGTTTTCGGGATAAAGAGTTTTCGGGATAAAGAGTTTTCGGGATAGAGAGCTTTCGGGATAGAGAGTTTTCGGGATAGAGAGTTTTCGGGATAGAGAGTTTCGGGATTGGGAGTTTCGGGATACAGAATTTCGGGATTGGGCGTTTCGGGATACAAAATTTCGGGATAGAGAGCGGTATTCTAAAAATTTAAGTTTCAAGAAATAAACATATTCGAAAATTACCCCACGACTTAATTTTGAAGATACTGATTGCGAAAGCAGAAAAAACCATTTATTAAATTTCTATGTTTCAAAAAACCTCGTCGAGGCAACGTTAACTGTCAATGTTATTGCACCTGTCTTCGCTGAGCCAAAGATTTGGCTTTTTTTGAAGAAATACTTCAGATACCCGAACCTATCGTGTCCCCGTTTGTCGTACAGGAGTGTCAAGCGTTTCAAAAGTTTCGCCTTCGTTTGCCGAGTTTTTGGGTATAATTTACAACCCTGTGGGATAAAGTGTAGATGAGATAATTAGGTTGAAATCGGCTGCATGGTCATCGAAATTTCAGCCAAAACTTCGTTAAATTTCGGTGTTTCAAGAAACTTTCTAGAGGCCATGTTAACGGTCCACGGAATTGCTCCACTTTGTCTGTCTCGTAAGTTTTTATTTTTTAACTCGATAAAGTAACCCTACGCACCGCTACAAACAACGCGAGAATCAGCAGCAGCAAGGCACGAATATTGGCAGTCATTGCACCCGGCGCGGGAGAGAGCCGTATAAAATATCGGGGTCGAGTAAAAATGCGTGGAAACAGGCCCGTTCCGTCTTTTTTATTAAATTCAGGATTCAAATCTTTGCCTATTGTTGTCTGGTTTAATTTTTTAACATTTTCACGGTTTAGAAATAATCCAAAAATTTGATAGATGGAAGCCGATTGGCTCCTCCACTGCAGGATCTCTATTCCAATAGCTTTGAAACTCTGAATTTTAACGAAAAGTTGGATATCTGGTGCTCGGAACAACACCAATTTGCGTTTTTTACCAAATTTTGAGATGCAATCTGTAGTCTCGAATTTTGGAGCTTAATTTTATCTATTTAGCAGATTTTAAATCACCGTAAAAATCTTGTGGTCTGACCTGGAAGGATTATTCCTGCATCAGGGTTACCACCTTCTTTGTAATGTGAAACACTTCATTTGCGCATTTCCCAGCGAAAAATTTTTCGCAAAATTTTTCGCTGGTCAGAAAATTCTTTTTTTTGAAACCACGAGGGTAAGAAATGTTAACTTTTAGGCATTTTTTAGATGTTTTTAGGTTTTAGATGTTTAGGCATTTTTTGTCCTCGCCCACTCTGGTAAGAGTTCCAGCCGGTCGGCCGTTACCGACACTTTGCGATTTACGAGGAGAAGCAATTCGAGAGATTGGGCGCTAATATTACCAGCTAAACTCGCTAAATTTTAAAACAATTTTTTCGGAATTCAACTTTGAAGTGAGACTGACCTATAAAAACTGTATGACTTTCATATTTTCGACCTCTAGAGTTTTCGTTTCCTGTCTTACCTTTTCTACGCCCTTCTACCTGTCTTTCTCTTTCCTTTCTTCCCCCCGTATTTCCCTCAATCAGTCATACGCGCCCGGGGCGAGGTCATTTCCCCCATCGACCACATCTCGTGTCTCGCTACACGCATATTCGATATTTGCTTTAGTTTTTTTCTTTGGTTTTAATTTTATTAATAATAAGATCGATACGTTTTACGCCTTTTCCCTTGTAGTTTTAAATTTTTGTCAATAACTAGTTTATTTACCAGAATTTTACGATTTTTTTATATTATTGCATTATGAAACCCTGAATAATTTTGGGTTCATCAGAATTAAATTACCCTCTCTTAAATTGATTACCTTAATTTATCTTGCATGCGTTTTAATGTTTCGGCTGTAAAAAACGATTTTCGATCCAGCACCTTTAAATAAAAAAGGTTTCATGATAACTTGATGCCTCTTGCTAGATTTGTCGGCCATTAGTTTTAGGACAATTCGTAAGTTTTCATCAGGCCTTGACAACGGGCCGGGTCGGGGCCAGCCAACCCCAGGCCCGGCCCGGTGCGGTCGAAAATAATAACTTTTAATAAACATAAAAACATTAGAAACTGTATTTTCAAAATACAAATATGCCGCATCCGGCCAGTGGTAAAGCTCGGATAACCATTATTGACCTTTTTGTAGACGCTGTATAGTTTTGCGGTGAAATATCGAAAGGTTGTATTCAAAGATCCTTTGGATAAACGAAATTCAAGGCATGGTTATCATATACCTATCCATTAACCAGTCTTAGTTAACAATTGTAAAAACGGATTGCTGCCAAAATCCCGACATATTTTTGACGCTATTTTGAAAACCAATTCCCTTTAAATACCTGTTTTTCAAATCGGGATTGTGGCTGTCGCAATTATAGTTGTCGGGTTTTCATCGTTTCCCTTTTATTAATAAAAAGCGTGCGGCTAAATCGAAAGTTGATTGTGAGGATAGACCAAGACAGCAATTGACCTTTTTATATCAGCTTTTCATTTGTCTTTTTTTGGCACATTTTTTCTGGATAGGAAAATACTTTAGATTTTATAAAAATGCAGTTTCAGATGCTACTTTTTCTCCTCCTATCTTTAAAAGCCACCACCGCATTCCAGCCAAAATATCTCGGGCCGGCATGTGAGGTTTTTCGTCTTATTTTTTTACGGTTTTTTAAAGTCAGCGAAGAGCGGCGGATATCGATTGCCGAGAGCCTGAAACTAGCATCAATTTGCGGGCACCAAGATGTAAATGCTAGCGGCAAAGAGTTCCCGTGGGCCATCTCGGTCTTTAAACATGTAAGTTTCGAAAATTTTAGCACAAGAGGGGATTGTGGAATGCATAGTCTGTTCAATATATCTTCTCGACAAAAAAATAACGTTTTCCGGCAGATTAAATTTAAAATTGAGACTGCTAGTCATAGCTTAATTAAATTTTGAAACACATTATACCCTGGAACTGAAACTGAGCAATCCAACAGCGTTCCTTAAAATTTATCTCTTTCGTAGTGGTAAAATACGATTTATTCCAGAAGCCTAACTTCCCCCTGGCACTGTCACGAAATCAGCTCGGAGGTGCCATCATCTCCCCCTACCATATTCTTACCGTAGCCCACGGCTTTATCAAATTCCGTGGTCAAGAGCTGGCACCGTGTGAGTAAGTTTTTGTTTACAACCGGTACTGGTCTGTTAGTGGGGGGATTTAGCAGGGGAAACTAACTTTTGTTTTCCGCTTCTTAATGTTTTAGCAATTTTTAATTCTTAAAAAATTGCAAAAAACATTTTCAAGATTTTTGAAAATTCGGATTTTTTTAGTTTTTTTAGTCACTTTTCGCACCCTTGTGTCCAAAAGCCAGAAATTGTCCAGCATTTTTCTAAATTTTTATGAGTTTTTGATATCTAAAATGCTATACAAATGGTTTACAAATAAAATATGCTATACAAATGGTTTATAATTTGTTCTAGGACCGTATAGGATTTCCGTGATTCTTGTTTTTGTGGGCAAAAAAATTCTTGCGGCAATCCGCCCCCCCTGCTAACAGTCCAGTGCCTCTCCAACGGGCTTGCTATTAAAAAAAGCACCCGGCCTTGTTGCATGAAAAAATACTACGGGACCGCGGCCTGAATAATTTGGATTAGGGAGTTACTCTGAAAAGCTGTTCACGCAATTATCTTCATCCCCACTTACTTATCCGCAAGAATTATTTACCCGTAGAATTTCGATTGTTGGCTTGACCTTGAAACTCAATTTTTTTTCATCACCGATTTTAGAACTTTGACCTTCGATATCATAGGTGTGCGGATGGGGTCCCTCCGACCCTTCCTAGCCCCTTTCCTTTGCCCGATCTCGAGTCGCGCCCTTGGTCTACTGGTCCAAGGCGCTGCCCCAGGCGAGGGGCCCGGGTTCGGTTTTGCTCCGCGGCGAGCGCCTACCGTAACCATGCTTGCTATCCCGTGTCTAGTTGCAGGCCTGCAACCGACACAGCGGGACCAGATTGTACCTTTCATAGATTTTTTCCGGTTTTACAGTAAATTCATCGCAATCCAGCCAAATTCGTCTAACGAGGAGACCTCTTTTAGTCGGGAAGTTAAAGACCTGACCAAGCACAGCTTGTGCAGAATGCAAATTTCGAACCGGTTGTCAAAAACCGCGAAACAATAAGATACGTATACGAAATGGCGAAGGTTTGAAGTGCAAAAAGGCAAAAATTTGCCGAAATTGGGCCATTTTGGGCCTTGTTTGCACTTAAAACCCCCTCTAACTTTTTAAATCTGATCGTTTCGCAGCTGTTCAAAAACACTCGGAATCAGCGCAACATTCTGCATTAGACAACAAGCAGTTATTACATTATTTCATGCTCGATCGGTTATCATGTGGAACATGTTTTTTTTTGGCAACATAAAACGATATTTTTATCGGGAAGCCCTTTGACTTATCCGGTGCTTTTCCCGCTTTTAAATAATATTAATTCCATTTAAAATTGAATTCAATTTATGCATTTCAATCAATTTAATTTTTAGATTTATTAATTTGTTGCTTACCTTTTGCGCTGGCTACGAAGAGTTTTCACTTTTTTCAAATACCTCTATGGAAGCGTCGAATACAATGGAGTAACTCAAAATCAGCTTGTTCGTGTTGTGAAACATTTTTGACAAGCCGCATTTTTAAGCTTGCGTTGTGTCATTTCATTATAGGCCTTGCCTTAAAGGGGCTACGCGGGAAGCTCGCAAATTTGAAATGGCCTGTTGTCACCTCGAAATCACGTTCTCGGCTGTTTCTGGGCCAAATTTGATAATTAAAACACCAAAGCTATTTAAAATTGAGTCTCGTTTTATAATTTTTAAGGTATTTTGTACTTATAATATATGTATTTTAAAATCATTATATATTTTCTTTCAATTCAGCATCGACCGCTACAAGACAATCGACGAGATCCGGCTGCGCGTCGTGGCGTATGGCGGAAAGTGTATAAGGGGGTAAATATATCAATATATGTTCAACTTTAAGGGACTGTCTCGTTATCTTTTTCTGGAACGATTTCGGCTAGCAGTAATGTGCGCATGGCTCGGTTTACCCGCAGCGTCCTTGAAACATTTACTTGAGCGTGTTCTACAACAGTCGGCCGGAATATGGCGCCTTTTAACAACCCACAAAACAAAATAAATTGAATCATAATTTTTCAACCGAGATATGCAGATATCGAGTAGTGAGCAATTTTTTTAGTTTAAAAACCTTAACAATCTGTATAATTTGGTTATAATTGTTATTTAAAGATTGAAAATACGATTAGCGCGACAAGCGAATAAAGGTTAATTACAGTAACGGGCCCCGCAAGCCCAAAAAAGGAGAAAAATAACGATTACAGTATTACAGCAGCTCCCTTTGGCAAACAAGAGAACAAAATAGCTGGGAAAACGTGAGTTATACGTTATCCAGCGTTCAGGCGGTGAAACTTTTTGGTAGAATAGGCCCACTAGCAGAGAATAGCATTTGAGAGTTCCACGAAAACCGATCAAAAAATTTACAAAATCTATGTTTTGAAAAAGTACCATTCTTGCGGAGAAATTAATCGAGGCAGTGAACACAACGTTCGTCGTCGTCGATTTTCTTTTTGTTGGTTGATTTACGCTTGCTAATCATAATTCATTTTGTAGTTATGAAAGGGAAGAAAACCGGTTTCCACAAAAAA